GACTGCTGCAGTGGGTAGAGGGTGCAGGGAACTCTCAGGGCTGCTTCAGCAGTCCAGCTGGCACAAGAGGTAGTGTCCCCAGCTTCCAAATGGCTGGGTCCCAGAAGCTCCTGAGAACAAGTAGCCCTGACTTACTTGAAAGGGCATCTTTCTGTACTGCTGGGGCCAGGACAGGGCAGCTTTTTATACTGCTGGGGACAACACAGGTTCTGGCCCTAGGCCCTAGCTCCCCCTGGCTGCAGATCCAGGAGGAGGCAGGCAGGGTTATTTTGCGCCAAGTGGCACAATTTGCCCCACACCGAAGTGCATGTTTGGGCACATGCACTGAGGTAAAAAGCCCCAGTGCAAATTTGCACCACTTGTATTTGAGCTGCTGCATGTGCGTGCGGTTGCATGTATGGATGTGCCCTCTGGGTCCTACTCCACAGCTAGCTTTGTACCCATCTAACCATCTCACAGATTAGCCCACTATCTTCCAATATTCTCATGAGAGCATCATGGGATACCAGATCAAAGGCTTTTTGGAAGTCAAGGTATACAATATCTACCACTTGTCCCTTATCCAGGTGGCAAGTCACCTGATTGTAAAAGGAGTTGAGGTTGGTTAGACAAGACCTGCCCGCCACTAAGCCATGCTGGCTGTCATTCAGAATCCTACCTTCTGCAAGCCTATCACACATAGACTCCTTAATGGATTTTTCCAGGATTTTCCCTAGGATAGACGTTAGGCTAATTGCGTTATAGTTACCTGGGTTCTCCCTCCTCCCCTTCTTGAAAATGGGTATAACATTGGCCCTCTTCCAGTCCTCAGGAATCTCTGTGAATCTATGATTGGGCTAAATCAAAAGAGGTTTGTATGACATGAGACACCAGGTCATACAGAACAGCTCTGTAGGCTAGATCCAGTCTGTAGGTCACTGGTTTGACACCCCTGGTCTTTAGGTTCACTTCTGCTTGGAAATCTTGAGAGGAGATTTTCATTTGATGCTGGTTTCTGGTTTGAGTTATGCTAGAAACAGCACAAGAATGTCATCTCTTGGGGTGTATTTGTACTGCCATTTCAGGTCTTGTGTGGAGCTCATAAATGAAAAGGTGCCTGAAACCTATACGCAGGGTGGAAGAGAGACTCATCCAGGCTTTTCATGTTACAGAAAGGTCAATTTTGAATGGATGATTTTGTCTGATATTCTGTGTGGGGGGGAGCGGAATTTTTTAATTTTAATTTTATAATTAATGGCCAAGAGCATGCTTGGCTTTGTATAAGACACTGAATATAATGACCCTTTCTGACAATTCAATAAGCAGTAGATGAGCCGATGAAAAGTCAGGGTCTGTTTGTTGCTGCAGTATTTTTCCTTCAGATGAAGTAGTGGGATGAAGAGTTAGTTTTCAGGCCTTGCAGGGGAAGTGTATTCTTAAGAATGATTTGAAAAGTGCCCTATGCACAGAGATTAGAAGGGAAACTAGTTTTATTTGAACTGGTTCACTTGTCTCTAATTGTGATGCTTAATCAATGGGCCATAGGAGTAATCAAAGCACTGCCCTTGATTATCTCTTACTGTATAAGTCTAATCAAATGACAAATGCAAAATAAGTATCATTTTTGCATTGCTTAATACATTCATTTCTTGCTCAGTGGCATACTATAAATCATGTTAATCGCATTTCAGCTCTCTAGTGTCTGATTTTTTTTCTTGTCTCTCCTCTCATTGGCTCTCCTCTTTCCCTCTCCCTGATATATATATTGAGTTCATGATGTGTCCAGGATTGTTAATCTGTTAATTGGTTGCAAATCTTTGATCTGACCCTGTAGTCTAAAAAAACAGGAGTGGACTTTACTTATACCTGTAATCCCATAGATTGCATTGGTGCTACAGACATGTATATGGATGACTTCTTTTAGCAAAGGTTTTCAGGGTTAAGCTTTGAGAATTTAGCCGTCTGGTGCCTAAAGATACAGATACACGCTGAATGGGATTAGTCCTTCTACTTCCCACTGACTTTTAATGGGAGATAAGTACATATCCTGTTTAGGTGTATTATAAATCTCCATGAATGACTGGTGCCTCCCAAGACTTGGGGGGGGGCACCATGGCAGCAATCGGGGACTGCCTGCAGCCGTCATTGTCGGTGAGTGGTGAGAGGGGACCGCCCGCAGCTGCTAGTGTTGGTGTTGTTGTGGGTGAGTGGAGACTGCAGTGTCAGCGGCGGGGCGGGGGGCGGCTGCAAGTGGCGACCACCTGCAGAAGCTGGCGGCAGCTTCAGCAGCAGCCAGTCTCAGGGGGGCACATGTCCCACCCATAACCCCCCATGTGTCGTCTGTGTAAATCTCTGTAGGTGCCTAGCTGCATCAGGAGGGACCTACATACCCTTGTCAAACTGGCCTTTCAATGCCAGGGCCCCATCTTGTTTGGTGGCTCTCAGTTCCAACTGCAGACAAGGGGAGTTGGAGATGCTTAGGACCAGGCAATGTCCAGCTTCAAACATGTTGTCTGTCAGTCCATGTTGAGAAGTTTAATAGGCCCAGATGGCAGTACTCCTTGTGGTGACAGGTTGGTTTGAGTGGAGCTCTGTCTTGGTCAGTCTCACTTCCAGTGCCAGGGTTATGACCATTGGTGGGGGAAAGAGAACAAACTCTTAAAAAAAAGCATTTGGATTATTTTTTCTCTTTCCCTCTTTCTCTCTAAAACTAGATTTTCCTCGCAATTCTTTTTTTATTGTTGGCTGTCTGCAAACTAGAGCTGCGTAGCTGCATTTGTTGGGAGGGAAGGGTCTGCAATAACAGCAGGTTTTTGAAGCTGCTGATGTCAAATAATAATAATAACGTAAATAGCACTGTTGTCTCAGTTGCTTGTGACTTGTGCTTGTTATAATGATTGTCTAGACCCCATGGCCGTGGGGCAAAGTGCATCCTTTGTGTTACAGTCCAAAGCTGGCCCTAGCACATCCTTGCTGGAACGTAAAAATAATATTCAAGTGTGTTACTTGTCCACAAAATAATTTGAGAATTTATAATGGGTTCTGATGCAAGCAAATAACCCATGTGCCTAATCAGCAGAGAGATGGCGACCTTCCTGCTTCAAAGAAGAAACGCCAAGCAGGGGAGAAGATTATGTATACTTTGGTCTCTGTACCACATGGAAATGACATTGCATCTCTCTTTGAACTGGATGCCACCACTCTTCAGAGAGCTGATTGCCTGGTTCCAAGGTAAAACAAAATAAAAAAAATAAAAAAAGGTAGTGCTGCACTGACAAGGCTTCTCTCTAGTGATATACTGGTGAGTAAACAGAACAATCAAATAGGAACTAGTATTATTCTTCATTTAAAATTGAGGAGTGTTCACAGATAAACAAGAGATGTATAAAATATGATCCTGCAGCTATGATTGGATAAAATGATTCTAAGGACAGAACAAGTAAGACCTAAAGGGAATTTGTCAGGATAAAAATAATAGGCCAGATGTTGCACTGAATATAACTGAGGGCAGAGTTGGGCTCAGCACACTGCTTGGAAAAACAAGACTGGTGATAGATCATTCACAGTAAATAATTTATTCAATGACTTTTGCTTGTCTCCATGGCAGATCACAATAACTTTTTGAATGTATTTTTGTTAAAATGTATTCAAAAATAGCTTTTTGAATGTTTTACTGTGGGGATTAATTGTGAATATTTGAAATTTAAACCATTGCTTAGCTGCAGTTGTCCAGGTAAGTCACATGGTGCAGTCACTTTGGGGCAAATTGTTGTCTGTTGATTTAAAATTTGATTCCTAAGTATGTGGATGCAACATTAAAGTTTATTTTCTGTGTTCATTTTTTTGCCAGCACAGTTCACTGGTATGAATATTCAGACTTTGAATATGACATAAGATATTCAGACTTTGTCAAAGAGAATTGATTTTAACAGTAGAAGTAATATTCCCTGAAAAAATGATTGCATTAATTTCTTAGTGGTACCTTATGACTGCATCACAAGTTATTAAACTGAAATATTTTTTAAAAGTCCAGTATTTGCTTTTTGTGAACTTGATTAATAGTGGAGGGCTGTAAGATGATACAAATATTTACTCATGTTAGCACGAGCTTGCAAAATCTAACCATTAGCCTAGGAATCCCTATTTGTCAGTTTTACTTTTCTGGCATGTTATATTTTGGTAAACATATTGGTTGAGATTCATTAAAATCTTTTTACTTGGACTAGACTGTATAAATAAAATGTTTTCTTTGGGGCTCAATTAATCTCTTTCTTAGTGTCTCTAAAAATGTCTGGCACAAAACCAGTGCATCCTTCTTTCTCCAGCCTTGTTGTTTTGTTTGGTTTTTCTCTAGGAACTCTTATGTGAGACTGAGGCACTTATGCACTAATACCTGGGTGACCAGCACTAGCATTCCAATAGACACAGATGAAGAGAGACCTGTAATGTTGAAGGTAAATATTGGTGAACGTGTATGAATTTACCAAATTCATTTCTAAAACTTTCTGTCAATGATTTAACATCCTTGTGATCTACTTAGTGGAAGGTGGAGAATTGCTTATCCAAATTAAAGTGTGCTTAAATAATATTGCAGATTGGGACGTGCCAAACAAAAGAAGACAAGGAAGCTTTTGCCATTATTTCAGTTCCTCTGTCTGAGGTCAGAGACTTGGATTTTGCCAATGATGCCAACAAAGTGTTAGCTTCAACTGTTAAAAAGTTGGAGAATGGAACAATAACACAAAATGAAAGGAGGTTAGTAATCTTCTGTGCTTCCCTCCCTCCACCCACCTCCCTTCCCAGTCAGTACCATGCAAAGGAAATATATACTATGGCAATGGATGTGTGGGTTACATTTGGACAAGTAAGTAGTTGGGTGAGATAGGGGGTAGTGGGTAGGGGGTGAGCGTTTGAGCTCAGGTCTCATACTTTCGTCTCTGTCACTGACTTCTGCTAAGACACTGGATGAGTCACTAAAGTTGTGTCTGCACAGCAAACCCAGCAGTAGCACCCTCAAGCGGACTGCATTGTTTAGTAAGGGCTTCCTCCTAAACCAGAAGCAGGGTAGCTGTGACCATGTAGTTCCAGAAGTGAGCATTGCCCCAAGTGTCAACGATGCTAAGTAAGCCTGCCTTAAGTGCTGCCTGGATACAGCTTCCAGTTGAGGAGGCTGCCAATGTGGAGCAGAACAGCTTACTTGAGGGTATCACTGCCAGGCACAGTAAGTTTATAGTGAAAACACAGCGTACCTTGATTCCCCATTTTGAAAATTGGCATAGATTCATAGATATTAGAGCTGGAAGGGACCTCGTAAGGTCAACAAGTCCAGCCCCCTGCCCAAGGGCAGGAAGTCAGCAGGGGTCAGAGGATCCCAGCAAGATAGACATCTCAATGTCTCTTGAAGGCGTTCAAAGTAGGTGCTTGAACCACCTCATGATAGTGCTTCTTTGTCTCACATGGACCTTTTAAGTACTGAACATAGATAAGGAGGAAGAATAGGCAAATGTAAATTTATAATTTGAGTTTCTACCCTAAACTGCTTAAATTGTATAATAATTGAATCCTCTGGGCCTGATTCTTATTTGCAGTAAGGCCATTTAAGCCACAGCCAGTGTAAAGGAACCTTAGAGTAGTGGTAATTCAGGTCCCTTCACCTTTCTAAAGCAATATAAAGGGGCCTTAGCATAACTGGGAAGCTGGCCCAACATCTACTCCTCTCTTTTTCTCAGCCCTCCTTTTATCTTCCCTAATTCCCTAGTCACTTCTTCTTCATACTGCTACTGTAGTTAAAGTATCTGCCCTTCCCACTCATCCACGCTTCAACTGCAGCTGTTCTAGAGTGTCTGCCCTTCTCATCTGCCCATGAATTAAGGGATTTTGTTGTATGTTGTAGCCAAATATATCACACTGCTGGTGATGTACTTTACTATTTATTTTCAGCTGTCTGTGGTAAAATTGAATATTAGACAGCATCTCTGATACTATTAATTTGTAACTTTCATTCTACTACGGATCATCCACGACTTTTTGCTGAAAATGTTATTTTTTTTTGCCAATAAAATTGAATGTTTGTAGATTATCAGATGAAGAGCTTTTTTGTCAATAATAATTGGAACAGATTGTTTGGTGGTAGATTGAAGATTTATCCTAATGTGCACTGCTCTAATGGTCCAAATGAAGTGTCCTCCTATTAGCTTTGCTGTGTTGTCGTGATTCAGAATCATCAAGCAATGAGGCTGTTGGTATGATACAATGTTGAAAATATTTCAAAGCAGTTTCAGTACCTAATCATTACTTCTGTATCCCTGCTTTTTTAAAATCAGTACAATCATATTATCACAGATAAGTAGGGCTGAAAGGGACCTCAGAAGGCCATCTACTCCAGCCCCCTGATGGAGGGCAGAATTATATCCAACTAAACCATGCTGTCAAAGTGTTTGTCTAACCTACTCTTAAACTTCCAAGGATGGAGATTTCACAGCCTCCCTGGGTAACCAGTTCCAATGCTTAACCACTCTTCTAGTAAGAAAGTTCTTCCTAGTATTCAACCCAAATTTTCCTTGGTGCAATTTAAGACCGTTGCCCATCATGTTGTTCCCTGTGGCCATAAAGAATAGTCTATCTCCATCTTCTTTATAACCTCCCTACAAGTACTTGAAGACTGTTATGAACCCCCTTCTCCATCTCCATTCATTCTTTTCTTCTCCAGACTAAATAAATACAGTTTTTCTGGTTTTCCTTGTAAGTCATGTTTGCCAACCCCCTAATGATTTTTTCATGCTCTCTGTTGGACTCTTTCTAATTTGTTGAAGCATCGGGTCCAAAACTGGACACAGTATTCCGAGTGAGGCTTCATCAGTGCTGAACAGAATGGAGGACTTCCTTCCCTTGACTTGCAAGTGTCACTTATATTAATACAGCCCACTATGCTATTAACCCTTTTTCTGTAACAAGAACACACTGTTGGCTCATATTCAGCTTAATAGTGTTTTTCATTTCCACTTACTCCACCATGTTCTGGCTTAGATGTATAGTGATCCCACAAGTTTTGTCTTGTTGCTCAGTCCCACACCATCACCTTTTTCTGTTTGGAAGGCACCCTTATGTTGTGAGTCTTGCTCTACTCAATCATAGCTACACATGGGCTGTGATTTTGTGTTGATCAGTAGGTTAGCCACACTGTTGCTATTTTTATTAATGACAGTTGTGTGCCAGAATTCCTTAGTTGGCTTTGAAACTCTCCACCAAAGATCCAAATATGACTCTAGTAGCAGACTAGTTTGTAGCCCAGACTGGATCCTGGCCAAATTCATGACCCCTCTTGAGGTCAATGAGGTTAAATAGGCTTTACTGGGTACAACCACATGAGGCGTTACTGCGCAGTAGCTGGTTACTACCATGCAGTGGCATTGCTGGATGCTAACTGTAATGTGACATTATTGCACAGTGGTAACGAGCTCGTTGTTACTGTGCTGTAGCATCAGGAAAAATCATGCGGGGATGGTACTGAAGAATAACGCTGGTTACTGTGCAATCATTTAGTACTTGCATAAGTAAATGACTAAATGACTGCTCAGTAAAAACTGCTCAGTCCGCTGCTCATGTAGATGCAGCCACTGAACAAAATCTGGCCTTCTGTGTGCTGACAGCTTTCCCCCACCCTTTGTTTTCCCTGGTTTATTCATTAGTTCTAGGGTAAGAGCTTGTGGCTTTGTAGAGGTTCTGCAGGAAAACTGCTGGTTCTTCTCAAAGATGTTCCTTAAAGTGAGTACAGTGGCCATTTTGATTTCAGAGTTGCAGGTGCAATGTCATGATATTATTTGTTTGCTTCTCCCAGGAATGAGAGCCATCCTTTGGTAGCAGCAGAGACATTCTTTATTAGAGCACATCCTAGTTCTCACTAAAGCTCATTCAGCCTAGTACGGACAGCAAGACAGACTGCCTTTTTCAAATCCATTTTCAATGCTTCTTTTGATCAATGCTGGTATTTCATAGACATTAGGGTTGGAAGGGACCTCGGAAGATCATCGAGTCCAGCCCCCTGCCCAAAGGGCAGGAAGTCAGCTGGGGTCATAGGATCCCAGCAAGATAAGCATCCAATTTGCTCTTGAAGGTGTTCAATGTAGGTGCTTGAACCACCTCTGATGGCAGGCTGTTCCAGACCCTGGGGGCTCGGACAGTAAAGAAATTCTTCCTTATGTCCAGCCTGAAACGGTCTTGCAGTAGTTTATGACTGTTCGACCTCGTCATCCCTTGGGGTGCTCTGGTGAACAAACGTTCCCCCAGATCCTGGTGGTCACCCCGATAAACTTATAGGTGGCCATCAGATCACCCCTGAGCCTGTGCTTTTTTAGGCTAAAGAGCCCCATGGCGCTCAGCCTGTCGTCGTAAGGCCTGTTTTCCTGCCCTCTGATCATGCGCGTGGCTCTTCTCTGGACTCTCTCAAGCTTCTCCACATCCTTTTTGAATTGTGGAGCCCAAAATTGGACGCAGTACTCCAGCTGCGGTCTCACCAAGGCCAAGTACAGGGGGAGAATGACGTCCTGGGATTTGCTTGAGAAGCATCTATGGATGCAAGCCAGCGTTTTGGTCACTTTACTAGCCACAGCATCACAGGATAGTATTGGAGCAGCATCATATTGGAGCAGGATGCTCCCATCTCTCTCCACTGAGTGCATCAAATTTAAATTGGACTTGTGTTTAGCTTTTGCCTGGAGAACCCTAGGTAGACCGAGTGTGAGAGCATCTTACTACTGTCACTGGACCTTGAAGCCAGCTGGTGTATTTGTCTTGTGTACATTTCATATTTCTGAATACTGTTCATCAACTCAACTTGCTGCCCTGTTTGCTGCTGTTGCTATTTAATGCCTTGGTAAACATCTCCGTGATGGATTTAAGCCTCTGCTGACTCAAGGCCTTGAATCCTTAAGTACATGTCTAACTTGGCTTTACAATGACTGAAGTTCTGTTGTGCAAAATAAAGCCTATTTTAAAATGTGATTTGCTCTTTTATTGAATCCAGCAAAGAATGGAAGGGTAGAGTTATGATTTTGTTTCTCTTTCTAGGTTTGTAACCAAGCTGCTGGAAGATCTCATTTTCTTTGTTGCTGATATACCTAATAATGGGCAGGAAGTTTTGGATGTGGTTGTCACCAAGCCAAACCGAGAAAGGCAGAAGTTAATGAGGGAACAAAATATCTTAGCCCAGGTGTGTTAGGGGTATTAGCAGTATTTTTAGATTTATACATACGAGTGAGCTGCTTGTGTAATTAAGTAGGCTACATCATGCTTATGGGGTTGAAATTACTGGGCTCATCTATTTGTTCTCTGAAAAAAGAAGGGGCAATTAAAATTTTATGTATAAATGGCAAATTCTATTTTCAGTGATATCCATACAACTCCACTGAATCCCATGACTCTGTCTGAGAACAAATTCTTGACCAGAGGTGGTGAAGTTGAAACAGATTTGCAATTTAGTCCCTGACTTGAGTGCATGTCACAGTTTATATCAACCAGACGTTATATTCTTTGTAAAGGTGCTTGAATAAACATGGTAAAAAGGATAAAGATGAGGAATAAGAGCCAAAAATGTCTTTCTTTTTGTACCAGTGAAGGCATTTATGATGATGTCAGTGATCATTGTTTGCTTGGGGATATCAGTCAGCAGGCTGGGGAGAAAATGCCAGGTTGTTTAATGTCTGAGGTTGACAGTGCCACCCAACATATTCCATTTTAGGTCATTAACAAGAGTGGCACCCTCTTTCTTACTGGATTTAAATTACACCTGTGACTTTCTGTGTACATAGCCTCCAGCATGGCTAATTAAAGACATGCAGCAGTTTGTCTTTGTTCTCACCCTCCTTGGTTCTGAACAGATATTTGGGATTCTCAAAGCTCCTTTTAAGGACAAAGGAGGAGAAGGATCAATGCTGAGACTTGAAGATCTTGGTGACCAGAGATATGCTCCATACAAATATGTGTTAAGGCTATGTTACAGGGTACTCAGACATTCCCAGCAGGACTATAGGAAAAATCAGGTCAGTGATCTTATTTTTTTTCTACTCAGATTATTGCATAATTGTGTACTCTGGGTCTGATCCTGCACACAGAGCATGTTTGGAGTCTTAGGTGCTCTAATGAGAGAGGGTGGGTTTGGCTCTGTATGTGTAGCAAATCATGTTACAAAACAAGGAATTCTTTTACTAAGCAGAAGTGAAGTTGTGGCTGAGGAACTTTGACAAGAGATCAGCAATCAGGTTTGAGTGCTACAGGTTTAACTTTTCTGGGACGCTACCTGCTTATCACTCCATTAGCTGCATGTGCGACTGGGACCCCTGCTTCCTGGCCTTCTGCTGCATTATTAAAATGGGGCCCTTGTACTCCATGTTAGAGAGAAGGAAGGTTCTGTTAACATTTGAATTCCTCTTGCTGGCAATTCTGTGGAGCAAGGAGTGGTAGTAGTCTTTGAAACAGGGCTTGTTCCATCATCCTGCCCAGCCTGCTACCATAGGAGGCTGTTTGCAAGCAGTAGAGAGTTCAGACCACTACAGTGGATGCTTTTACAAGCCACAGAAGGAAATAAATTGCTGCCTCTGTAGGTGTGGATGGACAAAAGAGAAGGGGTTGAAATGACTATCAGTATCTTGGACATTTTTAGTTGCTTTCTAAAGCTGTGCAAAATATTTCAGTTCCTAAAAATATGAAGAATGTTCCTTCAAAATATGTTCCAAGTCTTCCATTATTTTTGGTAGAAGTGTTGACAGTCCCTGGACAATTAAGTTTTTTTTTCTTGGATTACCATCACCCCTACAGTCTAGATTCCCTTTAGTGCATGCCACTGGAAAGGTTTTGAGAGTTAGTTTGATTGTTAATTAACAAAGATATCCCTGATCCTAAAACAAGCATTGTTTCTTTCACACTGTTTAACAGATCATCCTGGGGCTTTTTGTTTTTCAGGAATATATTGCTAAGAACTTCTGTGTCATGCAGTCCCAGATTGGCTATGATATTCTGGCAGAAGACACCATCACAGCTTTGTTACACAACAACAGAAAGCTACTAGAGAAACACATCACGGCAAAGGAAATAGAGACATTTGTTAGTTTACTCAGGAGGAATCGAGAGCCAAGGTTTGAAGTAGTCTGCAGAACTTTCTTCTTGTGTATTGGTAGCCTTTTATTTCTGTGGGAGATGTTATCTGCCTTTTGTTTATCTTGTTGTCTTTTGCTCTGGTTAATTATTTGCTTGGACCTGGCAGACAAAAAGATGTTTTGTTTATAAAGTCACACTGAAGAGAGAGCAGAGATACCTGCAAGTCTAGAATTTGACTATTTCCACTTGCCAAAATGTGACTGGTTGGAAAACAGCGTTTCCAGTTCATAAGAAAATTTCATTTATTTAAAAACTGCTTTTTGTTAGAATCTGACTGAAATAAAAAAATGTTTTTAAATTTCCTACAAGCTGGAAGTTCTCTGGACTCTATAGCTGCTCAGTGAAACTATTATTAATCTTAGTTTTACTACTTGGGGAAGCAGTGACATTGGCAAGAATGCCATAAGTTTACTAAGCAGTTGCAGGGGGTGCCAGGGTCCCTTGGTGTCCAGTACTTCCAAGGTCCTCAGCTCACCATCAGACTGCCCCAGGGATGCTGAACTTTCAAGGTACCCAAATCTGGGCCAAGAATCTGCTCAAGTTTTGGTACACTGTTTGGGATTTGGCAGAAGCCTGTCAAACTGAGGATATGTCCAACAAAATAGGGCTCAACTGACAAGTATTTTCAAATGAAATTTTGCTGGAAAATTTCTGACTAATTCTAGTTGGAAGATAAAATGGATGAATGGAGTGCTTAATGAAAAGAAATCTCAATTTTTTTGGTAAATATAAGAAATTTAATATGGTGAGAGCCAATTTATGCCTTTGGTAATTGTGGATATCATTTTTATGGAAGGGATTTATAATTTTCCTGGAGGCTTTCTCTTTCTACTGATTTTGTTATTCTGCTCAAGTGTGCAGTCATGTCACCTCAAGCTGTGATCTTATCATACCTCCCAAACCAAGCTGTGTTGGGGGTTGGCCAGTTTTGGGGAAGGAGACCACATTGATACTCACCAGATTCCCATCCTGGAATTGAAAGGGAGAGGGGCGGGGGAAGTATTAAGGGGCTTGTTTACTTTTTAAATTCATTATATCATGGAACTTTTTTGTAAGAGTAGAGATCTTTATCTTGTTGCATGAATGAGTAAATGTATTGGTTTTATGCAAAAATGGCACCCATCTTTAAGCCAGGGTGCCAGAATAATTCACATTGGAAGGATACACTTTGCAATCAAAGAATACACTTTGGAATCACCTAGTTAAGGGCTTGGGCATATAGGATTTACTCATAGGCTTCTGTGGCACTTCTTACTTCCATGAGTAAGAATTGCAATAGTAGACCCTAAAACACAAATGAGTTATGAAAAAGGAAACCTACTTCAACATCAGCTCTTGCTAGGCAACTTCTCCCAAAGCCCAAGTAATTCTCTTTGGCCTGTTTCGATTTCTGCAGCATTTACAATCATATTTGGCAGCTTCTTTAGTAAAAATATTGTATGCCGTTCCTGAGCATCGTTAATTACTTGCTACCAGAGAACTGACTTACCTGCTACCATACAACTCGCTGTTTAAGTGGTGAATGAACTGGCTCCTGAATATAAGATATTTTCTTATATTTGTGAACTTACATTCTACAATTCAGAGAGCTTTTTGGAGAGGAAGTGTGACCCATGCTAACAGAGTGTTGATTTTGTCTTTCTATACTGGGTAGAAAGTTTGAGGCAGCCAGTGGCTTCATACTAATGGACCCAGGTCCTAGCAGTGGTGGAGAGTTTCATATTTTTAGGGAAAGCTTCATATGGAGAAATTTATTTCTGTTGTGATCTGTGTAATGGTTTGTCCTGCATTTTGTTGTATTTGCTGTTTCCCCCTATCTAGGTTCTTGGATTATCTATCAGACCTATGTGTTTCTAACACAACTGCAATACCAGTAACTCAGGAGCTCATCTGCAAGTTTATGCTGAGTCCGGGAAATGCTGACATTCTCATTCAAACCAAGTAAGCATCTACCACCAAGACACTTTTTATTACTGCATTGCCTCTATTGCTACATGTATTGGCAGCTACAGTATGCATTATTTATTTGAAGGCTGGTTTCAGCGCAGATAGACAATCCCTTGGAATGTTCAGTCATCCCCGATGATATTGACGAGGAAGAAGTTTGGTTGTATTGGATTGACAGCAACAAAGAACCTCATGGCAAAGCTATCAGACATCTTGCTCAGGAGGCTAAGGAAGGCACAAAAGCTGATTTGGAAGTTCTTACTTATTACAGGTATTCCATTTTTAGAAGGAAGATGATACTATATTAGATGGAGAATCTGATGTGATTCTTATTAAAGCCATCTGCCACTCTCTTAAATGGGAGTAAGGTGTGGGACCTTTGGTTTGGTCAGAAATGGGGGCTAAGTTTGTTTCAAATACATTTTGTATGAAGGATCACAATCTACACCATGTTTTCCAAATAAGCACTGAAGCTTCCACCCTTTTGACAGCTCTCCATGTGTAGAAATACTGTGGTTTCATCTCCTCTCTTTTTCATGCAGGTTATGTGTTTTAGTTTACACAATGGCTAGTGCAGTGACAGCCACATTGTATTCTTGTAGACAAGGTGTACTGGGAGCAGATGCCCAGAAGCAATTAGAACTGAGCACTATCAAGACTTGCAGATACCAGACACTCAAAGCCAGGGTCATGAAACAAAACCTTTAACGGACTGAAGACAAATAGTTCAAAGGCTTCATCCTGCCATCATTCTGTGTTGAGTTCCTTTGAACTCCAGTGGGAGTTGAGTATAGAAATTATTGGGGATAGGAGCCTAATACTAATGTTTGTGATGGCAAGGTAGCCTCTTCATTAGCGAAGCCACTGTGTGATTTCTAGTATGTTACATTGGGTGGGCAGAGATCAGGCTCACAAGATTAGATTCTTTGAATGCCACAGAGCAAGGTACCAGAGAAATCAAATGTACTGTTGAACTTGCACCTTTATTTTTTTTATTTCAGGTACCAGTTAAACCTCTTCGCAAGAATGTGCCTTGACCGCCAATACCTAGCCATAAACCAGATTTCTACTCAGTTGTCAGTAGATTTGATCCTGCGATGCGTGTCTGATGAAAGCCTTCCATATGACCTACGGGCTTCTTTTTGTCGTCTTATGCTACACATGCATGTAGACAGAGATCCACAGGAAACTGTAGTTCCTGTCAAATATGCCAGATTATGGACAGAAATTCCTACCAAGATCACAATCCACGAGTAAGTTAAAAAAAAAAATCACTAATGTATTTTAAGTGGATCAAATTTGTGTCAAGTAAAACTGTTAGAGGCTGTTTATTTTAATGTGGTGCATGTAACAGAGCATAGGAATGCTCTGTTATTTGCAGGGGCCTGAACAGCAGCAAGGCAGCCTTCAGTTGGCTGCAATCCCAATTAGGCACAACTGCTTGATTGGGAACAGGGGCTGCTGCTAGCAGCTGGGAAAACAACAACCCAGCTAGGGCTGCTGCTTGTGACACCTTGGAGGTAAGGGCAGGAGCTATGGGGATGGATGGAGGCTCCTGGTCCTGGGGCATGACCTAAAACTACACCCTGCTGGGGTTGGATGGTGTGGTGGGGCTGCTTGTGGCAGGGCAGTATCCAGGAACTGTCACACCTGGTGCCTCCTAAATGAAGGGCGAGTACAGAGTGCCAGAAAGCCTCAGCCCCCACTGTCTTGTGGGTGACCCTGTGGAGGGGAAAGGCTAGGGGAGCACACCCCAAACAACAAAGCAAGAGCCTAGACTCATGGTGAGCTCTGAGGTAGGACCCCAGGTCAGGAAGGGACCTGGGGCAGCGCCCAGACTCACCACAAGCTCTGAGGCTGCACCAGGAGTGAGGATCCAGGGGGTTGAGGCCCTGAGCCTTTGGGGAGCTATACAAGAAGCTCCTGGGGTGAATGGATTAGGGATTGTTGAGGTCCAGTATAGGGCAGGGGATAAGTTTAGGGGTACTGAGAAGCCCAGTGTGGGGCGTATGGGGCTTGGAGCCCTGAAAGGGAATGAGGCTTGGAGCCCAGAGTTACTGGCAGGGCTTGGAGTCCTGAATTGATAGGGGGCTGGGAGCCCTGAGTAGAATTGGGCTGGGAGCCTGAGGAGCAGTAAAGGGCTGGGAGCCGAAGTGATTGAGTGGCCGGGGTTTAGGCCAGAGAAGCAGGCCAGATGCTATGCCACACAGACCAAGGCCAGGTATGAGACCACGGATGTCGTCTGCGAGGCATGGGACACGGTAAGGGAAGGTCGGAGCTGTGTGTAATGCCCTTGGCATCAAGGCAAGTAAATGGGCAGCCTCCTGCCTTGTTAAGATCTATCAAACATTATCATCAAGGCATGGCATGCAAGGTAGGCAGGCATAGTGCTTAGAGACAAGTGGGTGGGCCTATGTTTAGACTGGCCCTGGGACACCCACTTCTTACAGTGTACATGTGAGAATATGGTTTGTTGTTGAAGACAAACCACTAGTTTCTGTTCATTCTGGAGACTTAAAAGCATTTCATTTTTAATAAGAACATTTTTATTTTAAGTGCATTATTATAGGGGAAACTGGGAAAAACAGAATGGCCTTTACTTACAACTGCTAAGCTGGAAACCATTAAATTGTGATTAATATTGTACCCTTGCTAAGCTGAATCCTAGTTTTACACTCAGACCTTAGTTGTGGTTTTAAAGTCATCTAACTGAAAGTCAAGTGCTGTGGGAACACATTGCACCAAAAGCCATTCACTGAGGCCTTAGCCTCAGTTCAGCAAAGTACTTAACATGTGCTAGTTTTAAGTATGTGTGGAGTCCCTTTGATTTTATGGGAACTGTCCACTACTTTATTGTGGACAAAGCTAACCTATTTAATAATTTCTTTGCCCCATTTTTCTGAGCAGCGACCAGGTCATCCCCCCACACTGGGATCCCCAGTGGTCCCAGGGGAGGCACAGCCAGGCCCACGGTCAGAGAGGACCTAGTCAGGGAACTTCTGGTGGGACTGGACGTGTTCAAATCAGCAGGTCCTGACGACCTCCACCCTAGAGTGCTGAGGGAATTAGCAGAGGTCATTGCAGGACCCCTGGAACAGCTTTACTTGTGGTGGAACAGCACTTGTGGTGCCCTGGGGAGGTGCCAGAGGACTGGAAAAGGGCCAATGTCGTCCCCATTTTCAAAAAAGGGAGGAAGGAGTACCCTGGAAATTATAGGCCTGTTAGTCTTACCTTGGTCGTAGAGAAACTTTTTGAGAAAATTTTCTAGGTGCACATCTGCGAGGGGCAAGCAGGAGACTGTATGCTTAGGGGCAACCTATCATTAGAGGCAGGTCCTGTCAGACCAACCTGGTGGCCATCTATGACAAGGTCACAAAATCTTTGGATGCAGGTGTTGCGGTGGACGTAGTCCCCTAGGGCTCGGTTCTCAGGCCCGCACTATTCAACATCTTCATCAGCAACTTGGACAAGGGGGT